TTCGCAAAGTGGAGTAAAAAGGGTAAAGTCATTGAGCAACCTCGCAGGAAAATCGAATTAGAATTTAGGGACAGATAAGACTTAGAATAGAAATGTAACCTCATCATGTATCACGAGCTACGTCCCGAACATTTGTATTTATTTTCGCATGTATTAATAAAAAAAAATTGAATTTTGCAGGCATATATGATATGTGAAAAAATATATAGTCATGGAACTGCCATTCCAAGGCTATAAACAAATTTGTATTGTAATCGAATTTTAACTGAGTAGCTGTATTATAGCTAATACATGCTCTGGCTCTAAAACATCTGTTTTGTGAATGCGTCATATAATGCATTCAGTTTATATTTTAAAAGCACTAAATCCGGATGATAGAGGAATTTTATGAGCGCGTCATTCCTTCAAGTTTTCATCTCTTCTTGGTCTTAAGTTATTCCTATTAACGTAATCAAGTTATCAATAGAATAGTTCATTTGGATTAGATTCTGGAGTGAAAATCATTTATTTTTTTCTAGAGTAAATAGACTCACTTCTCCCATAATAGCAGATTCTACATTAATAGAAATTTTTTTACGAATATCTAATCTATTAACTAGGATAGATAAAGGTAGAATTAGAGCTGAATAGTAGAAGTTGGCTAAGGGATCCAGCTCAAATTCAGCTACATATATAGTCCCAATATCTTCTAAATAATCTGAAAGTCTATTACCGTATCTGTAACCTTCACAAATAAACTTCTGAAATAGCTTTCCATTTGGATCGATCCATCGGTCTGTTAAAATATTGAGTACTATTTTTGCGTGTTCATAGAAATGAAGTAGTATGATGTGGTATATATTTTTCGTTTATGATATACTTTTTCCATCCAAGTTCAATTCAGATTTTTTCATAATTTGAAATCAGATTTTTATAATAGAAGTGAAGAAAAAATATAATCTAAATACTTTAGATAGATCGTATAACCTGTCCCCATATCAAAAGAGATGGGAGCGTTTGTGGCTGAGTCTGCATCCGCTTGGCAAGATGTTCACTCTACTGGAAATCGGATGCAAATAATATGCTAAAATCTCCATGTAGAATATGCAATAAACTTATATTATCTTATATGGGCTATTGCTTTAACCATGCCAAAAAAATTTATCGTCGTCTTGAAAGGAAAAGGTAACTAGAGTCTTATCACAGCTGAAAGGGGTATATTACTCCAGAGTACTAACTGATGTTGTCTTAAACATTTGTCCTAAACTATGTATTTATTTTTCGCATGTAATAATAAAAAATTTCTTGGCAAAACCGTGTACAATGTTCACGATCAGCCAAAATGGCTTACATATTTTTCTGATTTTGAATACTAGCATTATAGAGCATTAAAATATTATCATGTCATCTGAACTTGATTCATTAAGACAACACATCATTGAGCTTGAGGCTGAGAATGCTGAGGTTAAGGCTAAATATATCAAGGTTATGACTGAGAATGCAGAGGTCAAAGCTGAGAATGCAAAGTTAAGGTGCGCTTTGGAAGAAAATGAAGCTAGGTTCACGAGACTAGAGTAGAGAGATAAAGAAAAACCAATCTTATTGCCAAAATGGATGATGATATCAAGGAAATCAAACAATCATCGGCCAATGCCAGCTCTGTCGAAAACCCCAACAATGTTGTTCACCTGGGTAAACTAGAAAAGATGGCAAAGCCATCAAATACATCTGATAGCACATTTAATTCTAATGTATACAAACCTATTCGCACAGAAACTAAGTCATTGGAGGATAAAGAGACGGATGATTTCTTAGATGAGGTACATAAGAAAAGGGTTAGTGATGAGATAAGGCAACGTAACAAAGAGAAGAAAATTCAGCGTGAGTCAACTGTCTTTCTGACTTATCATGTGTTACAAAAACTTCTCTAAGAAATCATGATGAAAATGAAAGTAACACAAAAACTGTGAACATTGTTTACGATCAAGAAAAGATTTCATTGGAAGACTCTGTGCAAAAAATGCCTGAAAGACTTAATGAGAATGTTTCCCAGAGAGAATCAGATTCAGGCTTAGTAACTGAAATTATACGAGACTTATTACAAGGATTTCTGGTGGATGATTTTCAGAGGGAATTTATTAATACTGAATTTATTGATAGAGAGCATTCTAATTCTTTACCTGTCACAGAAGAGCTTGTCCGTTTATTTCATCAAGCGAGTATAGCAAGGAAAAATTCAATCAAAGCTAAGCAGGAAGAGATTTCATCTTAGGGTTACTACTCTGAAAGATTCGAAGATAAGGTCATGAAGCTCAAATCTGAGGATAAAAATCTTAAGGATAAGACAGCAAAGTCACAGATTTATACTGAAATGAAACCATATCTTACAAGCGTTTCTGATGAATATTTGTGCAAGATAACAAGCAAAGCAAGAAAAATCAATAAGCTATTTGGATATGATTATTATCCTATAACTCTGAAAAAGATTAAAGGTATAGGATGGCATATGGTTAATCGGGTTACCTATAGTGCTAACAGTATTTCCAGACTCACTAACCTTCAAATTCAATACATTATAAATCGAGTGAACTTAACTGTCACCAATAAAACCGTGAACAATGTTTACGATCAGAGTCATGTGACTTCGGAAATGATCACTAGTGACACAACTGCTCCGAGCATGGGTCGTATAACTAGCGAAAAAATCGTAAATGCATCTCAAACCATACCAGCTGAAGTACCAGCATTCTCTCAGCCAAATGCTTCACCAGAAATGATTTCATCAGACATGTTTCAAGCAAGTGTATCATCTGCATCCCAATCCCGCTCTTCTGGAGCCTCTAAGCCCGATCGAGCCTACTTCCGCAACAAGATATTGGATCAATATCCTAATCTATATAGAGAATGTAGTTGTGAAAATTTCGATTATTATGGGATTACTGATGA